AAAGTGTAACTGTGAATCCTATCCAGTCTCTTTCAATCAATACCCCACATACGGGAGCTAATGTGTAAATTTGTACTTTTGAAATGGATATATTGCATACATAAGAAGTGCAGCCTTCTGCATTTCAATACAGTAACTGTCATTCAAACTGTTGTCATAATTTACATCAGGTAATACTAACAGAGTGCACTGTTATACTGACAACATGACTAAACATTTAGACTTTCTTGACTATCTTGTCTCAAGGGCTTTTCATTCTGATGGCACTGATATGTTCATTGACATAAATACATACTTTTGAGAGATGAGCTAAAGATTGTGAGTAAGTTACAGGCTTTTGCGGTAATCCATCGTGTGGTGCTGTTTGTACGAATTGTTTTGAGAAATGCACGCACACACTTTGCAAATATTAAGGCTGATTCGAGAAATGCACCAAAGCGATTGAGAAAAACTGTAAAACCTGTTTTGTACCAGTGTTATTTTTGTAGCATTGATATCATTTTCTCATTTTTGTTAATATTTTGAATTAGATTTTATTTTAATAATTTTAGTTTTCATTTTTATTTTAGTTAAAGTTTGAGCAATTTAGTTAAAAATGTAGGGTTTTTTTCTAATTATGTCTGTATGTATTATAAAAGCTTTGTTTTTGTTTTAGTTGATTTAGTTTTAGTCATTTTAGTACTTTAACTTCAATTAAACAAAAATGAGAATTGTTGCTTTGGCAACTAGCTGAAATTAAATATTTTGTTTATATTCAATATAAAATATTATATTTATATTTTATATATTTTTTAAATTTATTTAAATTATTTTGTATTTCAAGTAATGAAAAAAAATTAATCATTTTATTTTTAGTTTATTTTATATTTAAATTAAAATTTTAGTTAAACGCTTTGCAATTTTGTTGGGTGTTTTGCCATTTTATTTGTTTGTTTATTTAAATGTGTCTATATTTTTGAGTTTTAGTGCTTAACCTACACAAAAATTTGAAATGTTGCCTTGGCAACTAGCTGAAATAAAATAATTTTTAATATATATTTTATTTTATTTCAGTTAATGTTTATTTTATTTTAAGTAATTATGGGAATGCCAGTTTGCATTTTTTTCCACTGTTGCTTTTTCTTTGCATTGCTTTTTCTTCCAAAATCTGTGCATTTAACAGTATTTTACTGTAAAATTACATAAAATGTCCCGTTAGACAGTTTTTAACCGTAGCATTTTTGCATTGTTTTGCTGGTGAGGTTGTGATCAGTGCACGTGTGAGTGATGGCTGTTTGTGTGCCGCAGGCCTGGAGTCAGTTTGCGTCGCATCTGGAGGATTTCGCTCGTCCTCAGCACCTGAGCTCTGCCCTGTCCTGCCTCAACCTGCTGGTGACCGATGCTCTCCATCACGTCCCAGACGTCATCGCATATCTGTCTCGCCTCCGCAACCAGAGCGTCTTCAACTTCTGTGCCATTCCTCAGGTCTGATTCATTTCTCACACTGAACCTTCATCTGTTTATGTGCACTTACAAACACCAGAGTGCGTTCAGTGGGTTCAGGTCTCACACAGGCATTACGAAGTTAGCTAATGCTATAAGGGTGCGGATTATAGAAATATAGGGAATATAGAAATTGCACACAGATGAATGCATGGATACTTTCTTTGCTGCTGTACATTGTTTTTCTATGCAAACATGCACTAAAGCTTAAATTACTAAACAGATCTACATTAATTTAAATGAAAAACAGTATTAGAAATGAAATGTAAAAAATCTTATTTCAGTTAGTTGTGTTTATACATTTAAAATTATTTATATATAATTTCAATTATATTCATATAAATATATGCATGGAAATATATACTGTATGTGTGTGTATTTATATATACATAATAAATATACACAGTATACACATTATATAAATAAAAACTTTTGTTTTGGATGCGATTAATCGTTTGACAGCACTAATAAATTACTAAAACTGAAATAAAAATGTATAAAAATAAAACCTATTTAAAAACAAAACTAAAACTAATAAAAATGGGTATAACAGCAAAATTACTAAAACTAACAAAAAAATGTTATGAAAACTGAAAATGTACAAATGAAAACTACTTCAAAAACATTTTATTTCAGTTGTGAAAGCAGAATTTGATTTAAGTACTAAAATGACTAAAACTGAAATAAAATGAATACAAACTAAAAAGACATTAAAAACTAATAAGAACAAAATTATTGAAACTTAAACTAAAATTAAAATGAAACTGGAAAATATAAATATAAATTTTTTTAAAGAATATAAAAAACATATTTCACTTAGAAAGGCAGAATTTAAGATGAAGTACTAAAATTACTAAATCTAAAATGAAAATTAATAAAAATGAAATAGACTTTAAAAAAGTAATAATAATAAAATTACTAAAACTTGAGCTGAAATCAAATTGAAAACAGAAAATAATAATAAAAACTCGTTCAAAATAGAATAGAAAAATTTCAACTTATTTTATTTCACGTAGAAATGCAGACTTTAAGATGAAGTGCTAAAATTACTAAAATTAAAAGCGAAATAAAAAATAATAAAAACTAAACCGGCATTAAAAAACACAAACTAATAAAATGACCAAAACACCCAACAAAATTACAAAAACTTTAATAAAATAATAATGAAATATACAAAAATAAAACGAATTCAAAATATAATATAAAAATGTCAACTTAATTTCATTTATGAAGGCAGAATTTCAGATTTTTTTTAAAGGTGAAGTTCTAAAAAGACTAAAACTGAAATAAAAGTTAATAAAAATATTAACTTTTTAAACAAAAAAAATTTAAATGACTAAAACAACAAAATTACTAAAACTTCAACTAAAATTAAAAGGAAAATATAAAAATAATTCTAATTATTAATAAATACTAAGATAGTAATGATGCTAAAACAACACAGATGCATGCGTTTGAATGTTGTACATTGTGTTATTGCATGTAAATAAGATGCATATGAGTACAGTGAACATTCAACATTATCAACAACATAAACAAACGTTACTGCGCATGCGTGCTTTTGTGGCTTCTGCAAAAAATCAGCAACAACAGCAAAGTCCCTCTAGAGTACACTATTTCTGATAACGAGTAAAATATGTTTCCCGCATAAATCAGACGGGCTTATTGAACATGCAAATTCATTCTCTGCCAGCAGGAGGTGCTTTTAGAGCGGGATAAATAGAGGTTTTCCGATAACGGCTGTACACAAAGCAGAGCTGAGCTCACAAAACGCTGCTTTATCTGGCACTACATACAAGATGAAATGAAAATGACATTTAATTTTTTCTGAAGACAGTCGCTTTCCTTCAGAGTGATATAAACCTATACAGAAAAACCGCATTAAAATCACATGTGAAATATGTGACACACTAAAATGACCAAAACACCCAACAAAATTACAAAAACTTTAATAAAATAATAATGAAATATACAAAAATAAAAACGAATTCAAAATATAATATAAAAATGTCAACTTAATTTCATTTATAAAGGCAGAATTTCAGATTTTTTTTAAAGGTGAAGTTCTAAAAAGACTAAAACTGAAATAAAAGTTAATAAAAATATTAACTTTTTAAACAAAAAAAATTTAAATGACTAAAACAACAAAATTACTAAAACTTCAACTAAAATTAAAAGGAAAATATAAAAATAAAAACTAATTCTAAATATTAATAAATACTAAGATAGTAATGATGCTAAAACAACACAGATGCATGCGTTTGAATGTTGTACATTGTGTTATTGCATGTAAATAAGATGCATATGAGTACAGTGAACATTCAACATTATCAACAACATAAACAAACGTTACTGCGCATGCGTGCTTTTGTGGCTTCTGCAAAAAATCAGCAACAACAGCAAAGTCCCTCTAGAGTACACTATTTCTGATAACGAGTAAAATATGTTTCCCGCATAAATCAGACGGGCTTATTGAACATGCAAATTCATTCTCTGCCAGCAGGAGGTGCTTTTAGAGCGGGATAAATAGAGGTTTTCCGATAACGGCTGTACACAAAGCAGAGCTGAGCTCACAAAACGCTGCTTTATCTGGCACTACATACAAGATGAAATGAAAATGACATTTAATTTTTTCTGAAGACAGTCGCTTTCCTTCAGAGTGATATAAACCTATACAGAAAAACCGCATTAAAATCACATGTGAAATATGTGACACACGGACCACAAAACCAGTCATAAGGGTAAATTTTTTGAAATTGAGATTTATCTCAATCATGAATAAATAGCTTTCCATTGATGTATGGTTTGTTTGGATCGGACAATATTTGGTCGAGATACAACGATTTGAAAATCTGGAATCTGAGGGAGCAAAAAAATCTAAATATTTAGAAAATCATCTTTAAAATTGTCCAAATGAAGTTCTTAGCAATGCATATTACTAATCAAACATTAAGTTTTGATATATTTACGGTAGGAAATTTACAAAATATCTTCATGGAACATGATCTTTACTTAATATCCTAATGATTTTTTGGCATAAATGAAAAATGTATAATTTTGACCCATGCAATGTATTGTTGGCTATTGCTATAAATATACCCCAGCGACTTAACACTGCTTTTGTGCTGCAGGGACACATACTGTATTGCATTTCCTCCAAAAATCTTTTATTCAATGCTTCATCAAAGGCCGAGGTCGACCGATAGTGGATTTTGCCGATACCGATAGCTAGGTTGGCCCACACTGGCCGATACCGATTAATTAACCGATAGTTTTAAAATTGATACTGAACAAAAACTAAAATAGTGCTTTATTAACAAAAACAGTACTTAATATTAAAGTGTTACCATTTAATTTCAACTGTCATGCTTAAAGATGCACATCTTTAAATATATACACAAAGGCTATAGCATTAAAATGATATACATATGGATATTGTATGTATACTCTCACACTTTAACTGCTTCTATTCTTGAACACTTGATGATTATCTAATCAAAATAAAAG